TTTTGCTGACAACTGCGTCGTGCATTAGAGCTCCAAAAATCGATCGTCAGGATTTGGAACGAAAAGTTAATCCCCTTCACTTCACCTAACTAACAAAGGCACGATTGTTGGATGTTCGAAAGGCTCGTTTATTGACTTAAATGTGCGGTAGCCTGGGCTGAGCGAGCTCCAAACAGAACACAGAAGAAACCAACTCACGGCTGCCGCGAACAATAGACAGGAGAGCCCTGCCGGACAGTCCAGCCTTTGTCTGCGCTTTTAGTTAACGGCAGTGCACTTTAATTGTGAGACAATGCCCAGGCGAGGAAAAGGACACTTCGGTCGTTCAGCGCCATGCTTGGTGCAACGCACGACAACTCCCATTGTTCCGTACAGCTGTTCACATCAGGATCCCTGATAATAAGGCTAAGACAGAACATCATCCACGGCTCCGGCACCGCTGTACTTGCAATGGCCGGCTCGGATCCAGCTCAGGGTGTCTTGCGTGTCCAATCCCTTCAAAAGCAATGCTTACAAACAGGCGTAGGATGTGCCACGACCGCATGACTGGTGTAACCAATATCACGTGTAAACGAATGCCAAGATCATACGCTGTTTCATTCTCCACGGTTTAAGATTTACGGAATGCTCTGCTTAGTGGACTGCCTGCCGCCAGTCACTTAAGTGTTCTTGGGGAAGGGTGCATGTCAAGGTTGCAACAAGCGTCAGAGATTTTCTGGGATGGAGCTATCCAAGACTAGTCTAGGTAAAACTTCGTTCTATTATTCAAAACAAGTACATTCGGGTCTGGTGTAAGCTAGTGGCATGTTAACTGCGCAGCTGCAGCCAGAAACATAGCGGAAATCATTTTCAGGAGAGGTGTAACTTAAAAAATTGCTCCAACGTCCCATAAATCTAAACCGAATTCCTGCGAAAACGCCCCTTATCTAGCGTGAACCTCTTGGCTCACAAAGAGGGGGAGGAGAGGCTCCTCTGGTTCTTCGCTTTGAGATGTCCCTGGCTGTAGCGTAATTAAAGTTACGATGTTCCTGCGAAACTAGCATAGAAAATCGATCCGAGCAAATTACAATGCTCGACTTTCAACACACGTGATACATACCTGCTTCTGCAGTCGATCCATCCATATGTTCGGAACTTTTGACGGCTCTCTTGTTTCATCAACGCTTGTGTAAATGAACAACTCACCGTCCCCAAAGGGAACTGCTCCAAATTACGTCGTCGTAAGTTGTCTCGTTAATTCCGTGAGTTTATGGGCACGTCATCGTATGACAGGAGCATCTGGTGCTCATTCCTGGTAGTTTGTTAGTTCTCCAACAGCTGTTGCGTGGAGAGTTTTTTTTAGCGTTGTCTTTATTTTCAGCGAAAATATCTGTGTCCTCTCGTTCTCGAACAGGAGCTGCTAAACTTGTCTCTAAACGCTCAGGCCTCGCATCCCACTTGCAGCGCCGAAATGCTATACTGGCAATTCAAACATAACAAGCATCCCACAGGTGTGATGTTATCCCGGGTTCCGCCAAAGTGCCATAGTCGCCGTGCACCTGACGACGGGTTCGACTATACCGCGCTCAGGCGAGTCAATGGGCGAAGTCATGGTCTGAAAATGGCGGCGAAATCCCAGAGAAACTCTCTTTAACTTAGTAGTCAGGACCTTCAAGAGTTAGAGCCTGAATGTTTGGGGGCATGAAGGCCCTTATGGCATGCAGCCACCGACTGAAACACAATAAAGTCTTTTACCTGGTAATAGCCACCTTAACGAGCAAACATTCCATCAACGCAAAGCCAGTTGACAAGCATTATGTCAACCTGTGTGCATATTTGTGGTCACGAAAGGTCTTTAGTTGCAGCATTGTGTTAAAACACCCATATGAAACATGCTGAGATTCCTCCTTCACGACGCTTATCGCTCTCATCAGAAAAACAACAATCTCGTCACTCCTGCTACAATATCCGCGGCAGACCACTGTAAAACTGCATGACGTCAAGCGTAGATAAGGACTCGCCACCACGGTACACTAGCACAACTCAGCGAACACCAGCCATGCCTGTAAATTGCATCTGTATGGCTGTCAGACTCACGTCAGCGACGTCTGTCAGCTGATGGACGTGCATAATGCAGTCAAAATCAGCATGCACTTGGCAGAGCACATGCTGTTTTTGAGCAAGCAATATATAACCCAGGCCCTGCAACATACCTTGAATCACCGGCCACGCCGTCGCACCAGACGGTCGCCCGCGCGACATGCGAATCCAGGCCCTGATGAGATGTGAGGACTGTGCCGGGGGAGGAGCTCCCCGACTCCTGTCACCGACTCAGGCCAGACTCCACGGGCGGACCGGCAGTGCTCGTCAGCCCGGTGTCCGCCCCCCCCCCCCCCCCCCCCCCAGCTGTTCACCTCGCCTCCGTACAAGCACCCCGAGACCAGGCTTTGGGTCTCACCCCGAGCTCACCGCCTGATAGCTGCGCGGTCGGCAGTCGGCGCTCGATCTCGTCCGCCACGCACCGCACGCGCGCCGCCGGGCCAGGGGACCCAAACACGGCATCACGCGTCCCGTGATCCCGAGCTCACCACCTGATAGCTGTGCTGTCGGCAGTCGGCGCTCGACCTCGTCCGTCACGCACCGCAAGCGCGCCGCCGGGCCAGGGGACCCGAACACGGCATCACGCGTCCTGTTCCAGCCTGGACCAGGACTGAGTCTACCCAGAATGAGCTTCAGTCAGTGCTTACCCGTGCTCCAAACTTGCCGTCTAAGGTATACACTTTGCAAGGAACTCACTCCACGTTGCACTCTTGGGATGTCGAAAACTTGGAAACCAAAGCTACCCTGAGATAACAAAGCCGAACACGTGGGGCTTAACTTCAATTATAAAGTTCTACGGACCCAAAACGCGGTTGGCATCAGTATGAGGAGAAATATAAGGAGATTTCGAAGAATAAGTATGTGCCATGCTTCAGCACGCTATGTTCGATGGATGTGTGACCTGAATGACTTTATATCACACCTGAGACCGAAGCAGCCTAAACGTTTACCAAATGAACACACATTTGGCAAACAAATAAAAACGGCATAGCAAGACAGTTGTTGCATGCGGTCACCATGCATATCTCATGTTGATGAAGACTGGTACAGATGGAATCAAAGCAGCTCCCAGCGTTGTATATTCTGTTGTGAGGAATTGCCCCGAACACCCTAAGTACCGCAGGTAGTCAGCAGCCAATGGAATAAGCCGACAACGAAGAACTTGGCTACCTTGGCACAAATGCGTGATTCGTTGCATTGCAATTAAGGATGCGTGGATTCACATCAGTTATGTAGTCATCAATCAGAAATCGGATGAAGCGTACATTAAAGCTTGCGCGACTGTTAGTGATCCACATCGGCTAAGACTTCAGACGATACGCTGAGTTTTACTCTTCCCCGGGGCGGCGCTTCGGAAAATCCTTGAAATTTACATAATACATCTTTCGACCGATCAAACTCGACGATGATTTTGTTGTTGTTGATTGTTTATAATTTCACTATATCTACAAAAGTTGGAGGATCCTAGCTTCTTAAGTCAAATGTAATGATACCTTCGTCGCGCCTTTGTCAAAGTCATGTTGGTGAAATGTTTGCCGATAGCGTAAGTTTGTCGTGGGGGCATCCTTTCCAAGAGAATTTCCTTTGCTAATTGATGGTATCGTATTCCACTGTATATTGATGGCACTCCATCACACAAAGTTGGGTAATTCCAGATCAAGCTAGTTTCAAATGCACCATCAGCATCTATTACAAAAATGGTTTTCCACCTTTGATTGCTGGAATTAACTTATCTTAGGAAATGACATTAATTGAATTTTAAATTTCATACCGCTGCTGCTATCTAACAATGCTTGACTTGTATTCTGTTGAGTCCTTGAGATACGGGCGCGGGGGCTAAACGCACAGAACTTCACCTGTGTCACCTGATCAAAATGTCGCAGGTCACACCTATGGATGGATCGCTATCAGAGTGTGGTTCATTGTGCCGAGACACGTTCAATACTCATTTCCTTCGTGTCCTAACTGCTACTGCTTTGAATAAAAAAAACGCCCATTGAAAACTTTACAAACATAATATCATACTTGAATCATCGTAAGACATCTTCACCGATTTTGCACGCGCTCTGCTGCAATTTTACTCCTCATATCCGATGTGTATTGTTCGTCTCCGGCATATTTATGCTTCGAGATCGCAGGATATCTGTGACAACCAAACGTGCCGCGAAGGCAAAACAAAAAAAAAACAACGAAAATGCTTGTCAGGTGAGCTTTAGCTTGTGCTTTTCACCGTTATCCGGCCATTTTAAAGCTGATTCATAGGTCTAGAAAGAAAAACGTTCCACAAGCTGTAAATTTCAGGGCAGGCTGCAAACTTACCGGAGGTGAGTAATGGGAGCAAAAGGGGCATGTAAAGATGGAAAAATAATTCATTTCTCTTGTTGACGGTATTCATATCATCGTTCTGAAAAATGACCTAACCATCCCCTTCTTGGCCACCCAGCTTTGTCCACGTTTTATTCAACTTTTGTATACTGACAGCCATATATGTATAGTTAGAGCTTCCTCTGCAGACACCGTTATATGAACGTTATTATGCTGGAGTCACGTACCTGGCAACGCACTAAACTTAACACGCTCGGAAAACAATGTCAGAACTGACCTTAAAAAACTTCTCTAGGGTCAGCGAAGTCTGACTGCACAGTTGAAGACAAAATATTACACTTGATGATGATGCTGATATTCGGATTTAGAGATACTTTTTACTCCAGTGGTCACTTGGGACCACACTTCTGGGATTGGGAGACAGTGCGCAACAACGATAGCTACGAAGCCTTACCAAGCGTCATATACCACCCTAAACTTTTTCGTAACTGTGAGCAAAAACACAAAACAAACCAGTGCATTATTATGTTTCCCGGCTTGAAACAGAATCCCTAGATTAGATCGTAGTTTGTATGTACCCTCGTCTCGAAACTTACCGCGCGGTGTAAATATTTCGCTTCTGCGCAGCCGCTCTGGCAAGCCAGCCGCTCCTCTTCAAGGTCAAGGACATCCAAGCAATCTGAAACGAATCCGGAGTGTTTCATTATCGCAGTGAAATGGCGCTCGGTGTAGATGAAGAAAAATTATCAATGAAATCGTGGATTTTTTAATGCTGAAATGCATCATGAGTAAAACATATTCATTGGAACCGGTATGTTACGTGCAGGAGCTTAGACATCTACAACTGGCAAGATATCTCTGGTTTAAGTAAGGCGTATCCAGCAATAGCTATGGCTTAAAGTGGTGAGGGAATAAACATTTCCGCAGCTTACGCCGGGAGCGTTTCGGGTTGTTGTGGTGTGCGTTTTGCAGAAAGTCGATTTTTATGCGATGCGCGGTTATACCGGAGCGATGAAGATAAATGGCGCACACTAACTGCCATCAAATCCAGGCTGCGTAAATGTCAGCTTAACCTTCACACAGCCGCATGTAAGAGCATTGCAGTTAGCAAAACGATTGAAAACTTCATCCCTAAAGTCCCAGGTTGGCTGCGGCTATGTGTGACACTTTCGAGCGCGTGCAGGGCATGTTTTAGGGAATTCGCCCAACTTTTCATTTAGTGTCCATTACCGCTGTTAGACACTTAATCATTCAAGCTATGCGCACGATGAGCCTAGCACAGGGCAATGAATCAGACGGCAATGAAGTGCGATTGGATGGGTGCACCAAGTTTGATATAGCACTGCCATTTCGCTACAGCAGTCACATTATCGCTCAATGGGCCGCGATATCAAATGTGGCTACCCGTCTGGTACTTGCCCATCTGTCCCGCCCATGAAGCCCGCTCTATCAGTCCATGAATCATACGGGGGAACGTGAACTTTCAGAAGAAGCTTTTGGCAATCATGCATCTTTCAGGCTGTCTGTCTGGATATTTATGGCGGTGTAGAACAGAAGTATGTTCGTTTAGCATGCAACAGAAGTGATTAAATATTGCAGTGTCGCACGACGTAAATATCAGCCTAGCGCCGAGCAGCGAATTCAGCACAGAAGTGAGACTAATATAAAAAGTATCAAAAACCTTACCGACGTGCTGTTGCTGTGAAGAAAAAGCAGCGAGCCACTTGATCAGGGAGCTTGCGCGTGCACATGATCATGCTCACGATACTTTCAGATGATCAACAATCATCAGAATGCTATAGTAGTGAGCATGGGCAGTGTTCACAACACTTAAGATGACAAGGACGAGGCGACAGGCGGTGAAATTCATTTGTGTTTATCGAGGTTCGAGGGAGGATGACAGGTTCACATGCGGGGCAGCTGTGCGGAGGCCATTGCTTAGGTACACCACGCAACGCACAGAGGGCTTCTGAGTGCTAAGCTCGCATTTCAAACACGATATACGTCCATTCATTTGCTTCCAGTTTCATTCAGGAAGCTATTTAGCTTCTTGCATGTAAGTGGGCCGTCATTCATTCAGACCGCCTCGCACCGAAAAAAAAAACACTGCTGTTCCGTACCGGTATACGCTGCGGTCGCCGGTTACTCTGACCTATTTTAAAAAGCCAGCAATGAATGCAAACAAAGTTGTTCCGAAATGGAGCATGAGGTCGATAGACGCTATCTCACCGCAGCATACACGATCGCTTCTTGGCACGGGCCATTTTTCGAGATTTGGCCCGACGTTTCGTAGAGGTATCTCCCGGATCTGAGTCCCCGCTAAGCTATAGCTTCCCCGCTGTTTGGCACGGCCGCCTGCCTTCGGCGCGGTGTCGTCTGCCTTTAGTCGGCGGTGACCGCGCGCGCTAGAGACGGCAGCCCTCGCCCAGCCCGGGTCCGAAAATCAATCTCAGCGCGGCGCCGATGGTTGCAAGCACGCCAGTGTTGCCGCTGATGTGTGAAGGCACGCAGATGCGTCAACTGCCCAGAAGTGCTGTGTTTTGATTGATCGTGCCACCGGCCGGACCCGTCGGCCAGGTTTTCACGGGTGAGCGGACAATAGAGGGACGCTTCGCGGTAGGCGCCTCCTGGCCCTGCTCTGCCCCTGGTCCGATGTCGACAGAGAGAGGGAGTGAAACGCATCGTTGAGATGGTGACAGCATGTCTGGAGAACCCCTAAATGCCGCTTTTAGCGATGTGGAAAATTGCGGGGCTGGAAAGCGTGGCAGCTGCAGGTCGTAAAATAAAACTGAAATGTCTCATATCATAGGCCAGCACGCCCTAAGGTCAGATTGAGGCCAATAATATCGCTCTTTCAATCATTTGATGACATGGGTTATGTATGTGGCCATGAGCGTAGCAAAGGCGAGTCCATCGCGCCGACGATGGCGGCGCAACAGAACCACAGCCGTCGCAGTCCCTACCCCTCACTGTCGCCGCGGGGCGGTCACGACCGGGCACGGTTTCGGCCGGCCATATTTCTCCCGCTGCCCAATACCCGCTGTCTGGTCCGGTCCGGCACGACAGTTCGTCCGGTTATATCGAACTTCGGTGGCCCTGTCGATCACCACCAATCCGTAGCGATGCGACTGAACTTCCTGGTGACCGAAGTCTTCATTATAGACTTATTTTTCAGCTGTGTTATGTGGTAGACCCGACCGTGCCCCAGCGAGCCTTGCTAAAGATATATCGGGAATGTTTGACAGCTTTGCTGTCATAGCTGCTAGTGTAGTTCTTGTGGCGTACCACGAGGCCTAGAATTATCGGATTTAGCTCGTCAATTAAAAGCCCCGTCCCGCGTCACGTCATGCGATAGCACGTTGCAAAAGCTGGCGTAAATCACGATTCGTTAAACACGTGCCAGCGGGTGTCGTCCCTGCGAAATCGACAGCCCGACCATACAGCGAATAACAACAGTGAGCCCTACCATACATAACACACCAACCACACCAATCAATAACACTCGTGAGCACCAATCGCGAGAAGGCACACAAGGCTCACGGCACCTGTCGACGTCCTGGGACCCGGCTGACAGTCTGGCGGGAGCTTCACCATCTCCAGCAGCGCCTCGGCAGGTCGGGGGGACCGGGAGACGGTGACGGTCACAGGGGCCCACCGAGCGACTCGAGACCCTGGCCGTCTTCGTGTGTGCTTAAAGGCCGCCGGGCTATCTCAGAGACTCGAGCCCGTGGGTGGGCTAGCACGACTGGCACCCAAATTCCTTACTTACAGCTAATAACTTTTTCCGGGGTCTGACATTTTTGGAGCCATGACCGCCTCGACATGGCAAGAAATTGGTCTTTATGTTGCCCACCGCGTATTACTCTGTCTATTGGACAGCTCCAAGCAACGCTTTTCACCATGAAGTTTGATCCCCTTGTCTCCTTGGCTTTTCACGTAATTGCTCTGGTTGTTCTGAGTTTTTCCATTTATTTCCTGCGTCTTAAAGGGAGTGTTCCACATGTGTATAGGGTTTTGAACTGAAATAGCCATCTTGAAGGTCATTTGGCGCAATTCACAGCCCTGCCTTTCTTAAGACCTAAATTAACACTTCTAGTTTCCGAGCTACACGCTCACCGAGATGTGCGGACTCTTGCAGGGAGACTATTTCAAGGTCACCCAAGCATCTATGACGTCATAATAACGTCATTCCAATCATGTCATTCCGTTGACCATGAAGCAATCAAGGCTAAGAAAAATAGGCTTGTCCAGTCGTTCATATCTGGCGTTCGTGAACACGATTTCAAGACATAACGGCCGTTGGTTGGCTCTCAATCCAAGTTGCGCAAGGTGCGATGACATAATTAAATTATGAAGTACTGAGAAGTGTATTTGCTTAACAGAGAAATTGTGTTGTCTGAAGCAGCCTTTTCCCCTAGGAGTACACCAATAGTCATAAGAAAGCTTTTTCATCATGTCTGATGCTTGTTTTAATCTCTCCAAATGTGGGCATTTTCTTCAATCGCCATTGTCTCTAAATAATCCCCGGTAGTATTGACTGCCTTAGAGAATCAAATTGAAGATCTCTCAGAAATGGACTGAAACGCTTAGACATTCTGACTTTTGAGTCCCTGAAAATTACTGAGGCGGTCCTTGCCTGTCTCAGCAATTTACTGAGCATTGCAAGCATTAGTTGTAACCAAATGGCGCGGCGAGAGACAATAAGGAATGCAGCTATTGCTTGGTTAGCTGATAGCAAGATTAAAGAACAGAATGAGCAAAGTATCTCGAAAAATATGCCTTTGTATGGGATGTGCGTGAACTGACAACTAGAAAACTTCCGAAATCGATGTCACTTATGAAGACAATGGAATTGATCGCTCATCTTCCCTTGTGATAGATCATATTGTTGTAGAACAACGCTGCGCAGCACTGAAGCACCGCTGGTGGCTGCTACCCTTGTTAACGGCGAGGACCGCTGTGTTCATTAAAGCTATTAAAGGGCCATTAGCAAGGTTGGTACACGTTGCCCGGAAAACGTCTTGAAACACCTCCCATCAGACATCCTCGAACATCAAGGCAGCAAAGGCGCCCGAGCACGCGGCAGGGCTATTTGCACATGGTTCATTGTCCATAAGAGCCGAATGCCGACGCTGGCGGCGTAGCGAAACACTCGCCGTGCATGCTGCAAATGAGACTCACGTGATTAACGTCGCAAGTAACGGAAGCGGGCGTCTCCTTCACGATCATTTGGCCAACGGCTTTGGCGAGCCTTGCCAAAGCAATGCTTTTTAAACAAAGGGTTATTCTCATGCAGAGAGGAGGTGCCCGCTCACTGTTGATGCAAATCTTGTAACAGCATGCCGCAAACCAATAGGCGGATGATGGGTATCCCATCGGCGTAAAGGTGCAACTGATCACTTCCAGGCCCAGCCCGACTCAAACCTGGACCCTGCTTGTTCATTTACCGCGGTCCAGCCTACAGAGCCGACCATGACGCTTTTGTTAGCCTAGCACCATTGCAATTTTGGAACCGAACGAAATAATTCCGGCGATTGAATATTTCACGCTGCAATCTAACTCAAATCACGTCAGTCTTGCATACAAAGCCGGGCGATGGATGGGCAGCGAACTAGATGGAGAGGCTACGCGGGGCGGGGGGCGGCGGACTCCGACACGCCGCACGCCGCGGTACATCGACCGTCGTGAGCGATCGCACCCAGTGGTCGCTCGCGCCACCGGCCTTAGTGCGGCAGACCGGACTGGTACGTGCCTTCGTCTCTATGTCTGTAGCTTTATCCGAGTCTGTATATGTATCTGTATCTGTACCTGTACCTGCACCGGCCCGCGTGCTGTCGGCCGCAGGAGCAGGTCCGGCGGGTACGGACATGCCCGGCGCCCCTGCCTGAACCAGCCGACCTGTCAAACAAGCTGTAACGCGCTTATAAGCGCCGCGCCCGGCTGTTATGACGGCCGACTGTGCACCATTAACTAAATTTATGGAGTGGCGTGCGGCCGACGCGTCGCATTGCGCCGGGCCGGCTGCCATGCTACTGGCTGCTGGCTGCCGACGCCGGTATAAGGCATGAGTGGCCGTGTTCAGCCTTTCTGCTAACAGCACGGTGGACAATGGCCTGTAGACGGAAGCCTCCGATCCTCATCACAGTCCGCCAAATTGTTTTCCGCATGGTTGTACGAACGCCACATCAGAAAAGCATCGGCAATGGCAAAATCACGTCCGTCAGTGATCATTCGTTGTCGCGCGTGGATGAATAATTGAAGAGCAGAGCGCAATTCCGAATGGGCCTGGCGCAGGTCGTGTAGTCGATCGTAGGCACGGTTTGGTGGTGGCTTTTGCCAGGCTCAGCGCCACGTTTCGCTAGGTTCTGATCAGCCAATCACTGGCTTTGTGGGTCGTATTGAGCTGTTGGCATCCATCTAAACTTGGCCCGACATAACCCCATAAATAACTTCGACGATATGACATCAAGCACTTAAATGTCACAGGAACCATGCTATAAAAAGGATCTGGTTAATTAGGCGATGACAAAGTGTAGCTCGTGGTGTGAGCAAGGAAGACCTTGAGCTCCTGGTTTGTTTTTAGCATTGCGAATTCAAAGTTGTCATGCTGACAGTTACCAACATTCATTTGCAGTGACTGTTGCCTCGCGACCATGAGCACGGCTTGAAACGTGGAGCACCATTTGTAACATTTTGTAATATCCATTTTCACCATTTTAGCAAAGTAGCCATTTTTGTCCTTGGCAACGTCGTTAAACCACTTCCTGCCCTGCATGTTCAAGGTCTTTATGCTGCTAACTGTCATCATGACAGCCTTGACCTCTGGTTGTCGAACTGCAGTTGACCTGCAGCTCACTCCAGTGCAGTAAAAAACGTTACACCTGCTTTTTTGCACGCATAATTAACAGCGTGCATATAAAAATGTTTCAACTTTCGAAGCCAAACTATCAGTTGTTCAACATTCATTGATTTTAAAGAAACAGGACTGTTAAGATGATTTAACCATGAAATAAGCGTAAGAAAAAGTGGCTTTTTTAGTTGTTAAAGACTTCCATTTTTGAGGTAATGTAGCTCGGTCCAAGAAGATCTAGTCTTTCGTGTGGATTGCAAACAGGCATATTTACCTGAACAACGCACTTGACGTAGAAGTAAAATAATATGACGAGACCCACCTTTTCAACGTTTCAATAATTTGGTGCTAACTGTGCAATCAGGAAAGACGTTTTTTAAAGAAATCTGTCACATAATAGCTTTCCTGTCAACTTTTCCTACTGGTGGTTGTTTTCATACATGGCAAGCCGGAATGAGAAGCAAGGTACAGGACGGGAAATAAGCCACCCTAGTGCCATTGGCGGGTTTCTTGGCGATCTGATACAAACCGAACAACATCCCATAATGGGTGACGTCACAACATTGTTCTTCAATGACGGAGCAAACGGTCCGTCAAGAACAAAAATCTGTTGCAATTCATTTGTTACTTTGATAGCTTTGTCCACGCGGGACACGCCTATGTGAAGAGCTGCTCTATTACTTCAAAAGAACTGGAATGAAATCAAGGGTGGTGGATAAATTAATCACGCACCGCATTCACACCACCGTTTTCTATTCACGCGTGCGTGCGATTGTTGTCCTTGGCTTAGGGATGGTGAATATCTTTGAAGCAAGTCCACTGCGTGAACGTGACTGTATTTCTTGCACGTTGGTTTACATCAAAGAGAATCAGATGCGGTGAGAACACTCCCAACAGCACCCAAAAACCACATTCATGGTGCTCAAATGCAATGCACACGTCAGTGACGACCTGAGGTCTTAAATTCACGTAGAATCGTCGCTCGATACCCACGTTTTGCGTGTCATTTGAAAAAAAACTGAATCTACTCCTTCTTGAGAATACCGAATGATTGATAATTACAGGTTACTCCTTGATAATTACAGGTTGCTCCTTGATAATTACAGGTTGCTCCTTGCCGCCCCAGACGGCGTCTAGCCCGAGGGCTGAGAGCGGGCGCTCGCATCACAAGTGATGGCACCATCCGACGGTCATGTCATGCCCCATTGTCCGTACTCTGACGCCATGTGCGGTGCAACGAGGCAAGCAAGCTGAACCTGCTGTTACCGGTCATAGGAAAACACCTTTCACAATTTCTAGGCTTCTAGATAGAGGAGCAGTTTAGTAAGTTGAGTCAGAGTCTGAGAACGGAGAAATTGAGCGGTCGATTCCCAAAATACGTTCAACAGACGTGCTTCTCCCCGGATTTGGCCCACTTTCTTCTCAATGTCGGAGGGGCGGGGGAGGGCTTAAGCGCAAGGTGGGGGATGAAGCCCAAGTTGGGGGATGAGCTGAAAAGGGACCTACAACCTTGGCTGTAGGCAATATGTTTTCTCTGCGGTTCGGTTTGTTTTGCCGCTTTACTAGGTCAGATCATTATGTTGCTTACGTCGAGGCCGAAAGCTGATATACCGTCAACTAACAGGAATCTGGTAGCCCTAGCTGCCCTGCCCAATTCTATCCGGCCAGTCATGCTTCCGACGGGCTTTGCAACCGATGACTGCAACCAGTCGAGGTACCCAAGCTGGCAGTCAAGCAACCAGTGGTCGTGCCGACATGCAAATTTCAGCATCAGGTACTTACACTTCACGCACGAGGCCCCAGCCAACCTCACGGACGCATTATAGTTGTTGCATCCGAGCAGGCACGGCTGGCTGAGGGTCTGAAAAGCAAATAGGGACATGTCAGGTGATCAGGATAAATATTTCGTGAGGGATGGTGGCGGCATCACTGCTATCCAACTGTTAATTTCGGTGGCGGTACCTTGTCCCTACGGCTGTTTGTTTGACTGCGTGTTATTTACATATGCAAGAATCCAAACAGATGTTCGTTGCGTTCAGCTCTTCGAAGAAATTATGCTTTAACAACAATTTGTGCCTTACACCTACGAGGCCGGACTTACGGGGAGACTGATGGGCATTTCTATACTGTGTTTAAGTTAAGTTCGCATGTATGTATATGTATATATATATATATATATATTTATATATGCACATGTATATATATATATATATATACATTTCGTAAAATGACTGAATTTATATTTCTAATGTAAACATAGTCCAGTGAGCTCTAACACAACGCAATGCCCAAATGTCATCTTAAAAGGAGTGTTTCACATTTATAAGCGGTTTTGAATTCAAATGCCGATGTGGAAGACCTCTCTGTGCTGTTCACAATGCTGCCCTTCTTAAGATCGAAGTTCCTCCAGTTTCTGAGCTATACGCCCGCGAAAAAGGGGAAAGGTATATCGGAGAGAGTAGTTTAAAAGTCACCTTGGCATTTATGACGGTATAATAACGTCATTCAAATCCTGCATTTTATAGACCATACGGCGATCAAGACAAATCAACAACATGATTGTCGAGGACATTCATATTTGGCGTTAGTGAGCGCGATGTCCAGATATAAGGTTGTCAATTGGTTCCCAATCAATGCTGTGCAAATAGTGATGACGTAATTAAATCATGACCTATTAAGGAGCATATTTACTAAAAGAGAATTGTGCTGTACTAGAGCATCCTATTTCACTTGAAAAGTATACCAATAGTTATAAGTGAGCTTGTTTCATCTGATGCTTACTTCAATATCTTCAAATGTGAACATTCCCTTAAACTCGCGCCCGGGTGGCAGGTTGAATGCAGCGTTCGGGTAGAAAGGGGGTCAGTTTGACCCCTGATATATCAAAAGCTAAGAGAGCTAGAAGCACTAAATTTACGGGGTAGATAAGCCTGTATGAGAGCTCACTCGTGTCGAATTCTGAGGACACTTTTCCATTAGTCCAAATAAGATAAAAAAAAGGTCAAACTCCAGATCAGTGTCCGAAGTGCCCTCAGGCTTCCCGATGTAACCACCTTTAAGCTGGACACCTCCTCTAAGCAAAGGGTGACTGGTGTTCATTTTAGGTCAGTGACCCTCAGAAGGTCACGGTAACCAATAAGCTACGAGACTGTTCGGACTTTGTACTTAACATAAGTGTTAAAAATTGCGCTTGAAGGTATGCTCCTAACAGCAAAAGATTGATCATTGACCAGGGTCAGGTTCTTCAGGCTGATTAGGGCGATTCAAGATCAGTGACCTCTTCTGACAGCCAGGAAGTCCAAATAAGATACCTGCTGACATCTCTGTGATCAAGAAATGAACAATGAGCTTCACAAACTGCGTCTTAAGGCAAGTTCTCAAGCTATAGAACGGTTTAATTTGGACCATGGTCTCATTTTCACACCGATCAATGGAGCCCGTCTTAATCCTAAATTCAGTTGTCTAATTAACTAAGGAGCCATCTCCAAGATGTATGGATTCGTACAACACTCTGTTGTCGCATCAGATGGAACGAGTCCCTAGGAATTACCTTCGCTGACAGCCATGGGCTGGCTTTGACGTGCCATAGGTCAGCAACCGCACAAGGTGTATCTAATTTTTGTCCACCAAAGAATTGGTTTTTTATTGCCCACACCTACACACATTTTGGCGTGGTTACACCGCGCCGTTCGGAAGTTATTAAAGAAAAACCTTTGAGAGAGTCAAATTAACCCCCATCCGAGCGCGTGTTAACAATGATTGGGTCTTTACGTCTCACGGACTTTTAGGGCCATTTCGAGATGGGATGCCTTTATTGGATCCAATGTGGCCATTTCGAGACGGGATGCCTTTATCAGATCCAATGTGGGATGCCGCAGTGGTGTGGCGGCGATCCGGACCCAGAACCGACAACAGGTCCAGAGGTGGCCCCTGACCGCTATCCCCTCCCCACAACATAGTCATCTTGAGTATGAATGTGCAATGGTGTTAGTTAACGCACATTGCAAAATGCATGTATAGCATGTCTCAAGATGCAGCTTCGCATATCGCGTACGGCACGTTGTTACAAACGTCGTTTGTGGCTCTCTAATTGTGATATATTAGGCAATACCATAGCATGTCCTGTCGCACAACAGAGGCCCGCATCCCATATCAGTCACAAAGCGAGGGCCGCGTGCGACGTGAACGGAAAGTTTCAATCATCTTGGCATGCGTATCTACGTCCCTCTAGCCACGGAAAAGCATGTGCTTTTACCCACCTGCATGAACTATTGTTACCAATTTCTAGTTTGCGCTTACAAACTGAAGCCCTTTCCTGAAGCCTTTCTGGCAAAAACATTGAAGCGTGATAAAAAAACACGGGCAGCCGGTAAAGGAATTGCCACAGGAACGTCGAAACCATTAAATAAGGATGAACCACGTAAAACGCTGCGGCAGGAATCTTCCTGAATTAATGCGTGCTGTGCAACGTCCGAGCCCTCGTTAAGCTTCTTACGTTGGAGGGTTCACTGTCCTCACCTGCTCCTGCACCACTGGCTGCCACCATGGTGCGCCGCGCGCAATTCCGTGCGACCATTCTCTGTCCTTCCGTTAAATCGCCCATAGGCGTGCACGCGTTCAGAGCTCCACATGGCTGCCGCCTGCTCTGCCGAATGAGCGCCTCGTGCTCGCCCCTGCCCTCCCCACACCGGCACGCCCACGTCAGCCGACCTCCCGCGTCTGGGCACTGGGCTCCCCCCCCCCCCCCCCCGCCAAGGCTCACACGACATTACCAGGCGCTCCGTGCTCATGTGTACAGAAGACCGGATATCCGCGTGTGTGCGCGCGTGACGGTACAGCGCGTGCGCGCGCCGACACGTCTTTGTCGAAGGCCGTCCCGACATGTCCGTTGCCACACGATGTGTGTGTGTGTGTGTCTGTCTGTATATATATATATATATATATATATATATATATATATATATATATATGTGTGTGTGTGTGTGTGTGTGTGTGTGTGTGTGTGTGTGTGTGTGTGTGTGTGTGTGTGTGTGTGTGTGTGTGTGTGTGTGTCGGCGGCCCGCGGGACGGGCGTTTCCCATCGACCCGGCGCTGTGTCGCGCCTGTCGTCGCGCCACGTTTGCCGGCCGACCTATCGCAGCGTCACGTTCGTCGCGAGACAGCCGACGACTCGGCGGCGCCGGGGCGCCTGGGGCCGCCGCGCCGCCCCAGCCGCCTGTATCGCGCCCCGGGCGGCGCTGTCGGTGCGTGACCGCACTGAGAAGCGGCTCGGCCCGGACTCCTGCCGGCCGCGTGGGTGTCGATTCAGCCGCCGCTGACTAACGCATTGACACTGGCGCCGATTGCTGTCTCGACGCACCCGCCGCGGCAGCCACACTGAAGCGTGCATCACCCTTGGAGCGTGCCGGCTTAAGAATCGTCACCCCAGTTGACGCGTACTGTTGCATTAAACATCGTTCAACAGGGGCTGGCTGGCATTCTCCGACCTAATGGGACGAAAAGCCAGTCGATACCTCCGTCACTACGCGTGGCCGAACGAAAATCAAGAGCTTGGTGGCTTTGTTATTGTCGCATTCACCAAAATGGCACCAAGTGATATCTTCTTGAACGCTGCTACAGTGAGGACGAATTGGTCCTTTCGGTATCGGTCAAAAGGGTTGATATGAGAGCTTCCATACGTCTGTGTTGTGAATTTATATCGCCTTAGTGCTTTGTGATGAAAGGAAGCTAGGCGCCCTCGTGGTCGTTGTATCGTGGGTGACCTGCGTCTTTTGCGTGCCGAACTGTCCCGCAGTTTCGCTGTGACGCTGGTCGCTGTGGCGTAGCTTTAAAGTTATGCGGTGACATGGGCTCAGTTTTTTTCTACCATCGCAACGAGGTGAATGGCTGTTTGGAGGTGCTGCTTGACTACGGACTACCAAAACCCAGTACAGTTCGTCTTTTTTCAATGACGATGAAGCACACTTCTGGAGTGATGAGACTCAAGATTATCGCGGATCATGTTCCGTTGGAGAAAAGTGTTTTTACACTGAGCGACATTCACACCGAAAGGCAACTGTTTGCTCTTAGTTTGTACATACCGCACATTTCTTATATTTTCGCCTTGCACTCAGCGCTCCGTATAACTAACGGAGTGAGGATTCATAACGTACTTTCCAAATATATCTTGCATGAGTATGAGCGTATTCCAAGGAGTTCTGCAGATTTCCTTTTTGAAATGGAACACGGTCTTATGCACTTCATTTCAGCAAAAAGAAGTTCATCTCTGATAGAGCTAAGCCACTGCTCATGACATCTGTCATCTTGTAAATTCTCAGTGTCGGGACAGAAGACAGTTTGCAAAAGTTGTCGAAGAAAATGAGTGCTTAATCATGATTCTTTCTATGCGTGCGGATGGAGCCATTTCCCAAAAACATGGAAGTGCAGTTGTACAATTTACCATTTCAATGTACCTGTTTCTCCCCACCTTATGTTACATTAAGCCTACCATGTACCTTCTTGATGGGCCCTACTTCTACGGGAAACAAATGAACACTCGCTTTTAGAAGCTGCATCAGGTTTAATTCCACCAAGTGCCATACCCATGTCAACAGCTTAGCCGTGATATGATCATGGAAACTATGAAAAACTGTGTTGCCAGAAGCCGACCGAAAAGTTGGAAAACCTGGGCAAGGTTTCCGTGGAATAACCTGATCATTGAAGCCATTGCATTGTTTTGAAAATCAGCTCAAAGGCTACTCGGACTCCAAATAAAATGAGACAAGAGCTGATTTTCAACAACTCCAATCCTCTATTGCCATGAAAAGAGCTGAAGGCATGATGCCCCGACGACCTGCGGTGCGTCTTGACCAGTATGTAATT